CTTTTCTAGATAACTTCAGAGCCACACAGTGCAAGGTCACTTACAAAACCAAGGCCCACCAAGAATAAACAAAAATATTGTGTAAAATATTAATAATTCTGCCAGAGTGCCCCCCTGCATAAGATCTTACCGGCTAGCAGCTAGGAAGACTTAGAAGGCGAGGTATAGATGTCACAAGCTGCTTGTTTTTTTCAGCAGTGTGGGATGAGCCTTCATGGTCTGTTATTGTGAAGTTGTCCTCTGTCTACTCCTCTTTGAGTAATGAATTAGTCTTTCAGTCTGTAAATAAACCCGTGAGCAGGGAGCACACGACAATTTCCTTTTCACAGTCCTGCCAATTCTGAATCGTACTTCCTTGACGGAAAATGGCAGCCCTTCAAGAAATTTGTGTATGTGAGTGTGCAGGGGCAGGAGGAGTGGCAAAAAGGACTTGCCCAGCTCCAGGGTCTCTATTCAGTTCTTCCAGAGCCTGTGAAACTTTTGTTCCTAAGCAACAACAATGCTAGGTCCTTGGAGATCATTAACATAATGTTTGGTTCCAGCATGCAAGTTCAAGCTGGAGGGAAAAGAATAGAACGGCATGCAGTGCCTGGAAATGTTAGATTTCAGATTATGCAGAAAGAAAAAGCATCTGGACCTCTGGACCTGCTTAGAAGCTGTTTGTCAGGTTCTAACATTTTAGTAATTTGTCTATTTCATTTTTCTTGGCTGTAACACAGTGTGAGATACTTGTATGTGTGTTAAAACTTGCACATTTGTGATACTACCCTTTGCATGTGATGGATTGAATAGATATGGACACGGGAGGGAAGGTTCATTCAGCCGTGCAGCAGAGAGGATATGAGCTGCAGTTTATATTTATCTGTAACCTTTTAAAAGTGCAGTTGATACAATAATTTCCCTTTGTAACATGTGAATTTACTGGAATTTGTTTCTGACTGGGGCTACCAAGCTCCAGCTTTTAGTAACTGGTTGCAATAATTTCAAAATAGTATCTGGAAAAAAAGAACTATGCTGTGTGCTTTGTAGTATGTATTGTTCGCAGGAGATGCAACACTGAGGTCCCTCTCTTGCTGATAATGGGTCTGAGATATTATTGGCATAAAGAAGCTGATAATGTTGATGGGTTTGCCTGATTCCAGGGTTAGAGATTGCATTCTGCTCACCTCAACAAATTAATTGAATTTACTTAACGTTTTTCTTCTATGACCTGAAGTATGCCTGGGTGCAGCATTTGTGCAGTGGAAATGTTATCCCTTTGGTTTAAGCCTATGAATACCCACAGTGCAAACAGTGTTCTGTAAATGGGAGAGATTCCTTTCTCCCTCCCCAGCCCCTTCAAGACATCCTACTTCAAGGAGCCGCACTTTAATATTATACTTATTTATAAATTTTGTATTATACGTCTACTCATTTGAGTACAGAGCAAGAATACCCAGAAGGTGCACTGGTAGAATCAAATAAGGAGGACCCTGTACCTTTATTCTAAAGTAATCTAACCTAACAGTTTTCTGAGGTTTGATAGAGACTTGATTGTTTCACAAGGAAAGCTGATATTCCTTTTGGTGGCTGCTTTTCTCTTTTAATAGTAGGACTTTGACCTAGGTTGTGGCTTACCAGGAAAGGGATTTTCCTCACAATATTTTTGGTAATTGCAAAAATTCTTTAAGAGAAGTGGTTTTAGGAGAGCTTTGGCACTGTTTGTAGACTTAAGAAGTCTGGGGGATGGAAGACAGAAAATGAAAGCAGTTTTGTGAAGTCTAAGAATGCAATTAAGTTTATTAGAATTTTAGTATTAATTTCAGTGGGGGAAAAATATTATCCTTTGAGATTCTCACATCTGCAATGAATCTCCAAATGGCTTGAGGTCCACCTGTCTCTAGCAAATAGAGAGCACTGGCTATCACAAGAGTGAGATCATAGTCTGATGTTAATGGAAGAGGGATTAATAAATTACTTATGCATAGTGTAGCCAAAGGTGGATCATCATTAGTACACACCATGCTTAGATACTGCCATGGTTAGTGCCCTACAAATACCTTATAAATTTAGACATAGATAGATATGTAGGTACTTCTCTTGACTACACATAACTTCACTCCCCACCCTTGAAGTTTAGTTATTTACATTTATAAAGCAGTTCTGTTTCTTTTTCAAACCAGGCTTTGATTATTTATTTTTAAATGCACTTACTGTGGTTGGATAGCTGCAGTTGGTCTACTTTGAGCTTTTGCTGTGCTGGCTAGAGAGGTGTTAGCTGGAGGAATGCTGATTGATTGCCAAGGAGAAGAGAGGAATAGGCTTGAACTGTCTGTAATGTGATTCATGTTCTGAACCCCTGTGAGTAAACAAGAATGCAGAATTTCAGATCTCTGGGGACTTGGAGGGAGCATCCCTGCTGATCCCCTGAGAGCCAGAAGGATGGCTCTTACAGGGGAGTCACTACATTTAGCCTTGCTTATTTTCATGATGTGGTGAACTCATCAACTTCTTTGAGTTATATAGTGGCTTCCAAAGTCAGCAGAGATGATTGTTTTGACACTTGCAGAGTCCTTATTAGCTGTTTAGGGCTTGTGACAAGCAGAGCAAGAGTTCACCTAGAGGGTCATGGCACCCACAAGTCAACGTATATTATGTATACTTGTATAACATACAAACTGGCCCAGTTTAGTCCTGATTCTAGTAATTTATAATGTTCCTACTTTAAAATATTGGAGGACTGATGGATAGAGCAGGTTTGTACATTACATAACCCCCTGCTTTCTAACTCAGCCATAAATCCAAAATAAACCTGGGCGGTTTAGTGAGTGAGTCTGCCCCTGTGGAAAGAGAAGAACCTAACCTGATCCCTCTGTGACAAACACCCTAATCCAACCACGCTTCAAATAATGTCAGGAATCCTGATCCTGTTCCATCCCTTTGAGATACTCTCTCTGAGTTCCAAATGTCTGTTGGAGACCTTACAAAGGCCAATGGGGTAAAACTCTGTGAAATCTACGTATAGTGCAAGAGGGCTGAATTGTAAAAGGTAAGTGCTCATGATATCTGTTTTCTACTTTAGAATTCCTACGTTCTTGAGCTGCGTGTGGCTCAAACTGGGGGTGCAAAACCACCATAACTCTCCTTTAGTCAACAGACTTTCTTCTGATCTACAAATTAGACCATCATATAATCTATTCTTTTTTTGGACAGAGTGAAGATCCTATTTTCCCATATCAGATGTGAACTACACCTTTTTGTGTTGCCTCGTTTCTATAAATAGAGACTATAATTGTTAGGTTTCATGTGCTTAGCAGGAGAACTAAACAAAGCTTAGGAGCTGTAGACTATGAGATAGAACTGGTCCTGGGTTTCATGTTTCTTCATGGAATAGGTTATTACTTAGGCTATGCAAGAACCTTCCCTTAGATACACACTTTTCTCTTAAGAGAGTGCCTAAGCAAGGAATAAAGTACCGTGTCACGTAAACCTTAGTGTTTTTCTTTTATATACACTGTTAACTGGTCCAGGAGTGAATAGGCAGTAAAATAATGATTCATAATCATGAGAGGTAGTTTACAAGAATTTACTACTGCAATTTCAATAAAACTATAATGATCATAGACCATTCCAGAGTTTTATTTAGATATTTGAGGCTGCTTTAAGCCTAGCTTTGTGGATTTCTGGTGTGATCCAATACAGAGCACAAAAGTGCAAAGTAGCAGCTAGCTATGCATGTAGCAGTTTTATAATCTATGGACTGATTTCCTTACACTATCTCTAAGGTAGCACCTCAGGATTAGTTTAATGTTGTACACTCAAAGGGAAAAGCATCTCCTACCACCAGTGATATTGTATCATATCAGTAACCCTGTTTACTCTGGCAGATCAAAAGTCTCTTTAATCTAGAATCTGCCACTTAACTCAGTTTGTTCTCTAGGAATTGACAAGAGCAAGTCCATGGCCTTCAGAAAGTGACACAACTTCTAGCTCAGTGTAGTTGAAATGTTACTTTTGTGTGCTCAGAACCTTTCACCCTTTTCGTGTTTTCACGTGAATTCCCCTGTTTAGAATCTGCCTTCAGCTGGTTTGTTTTTTGTTTAAAGTTTCAGTAAAAAGTTGTGTTTTGAGAACAAAGAGTGGAAAACCCATATTTACTCTTAATTTAAAAAAAAAATTATAAAAATGGCAACCCATTTTTTAAGGACTACATTAGTTTCAAAGTGCTTTATGCAAAAGGAATAGCTGTGATATGGAGACTGAGACACGTCTGGTTTCAAGCTAGTGTCTTCATAATGCTTCAGAAAAACATGAACCTTTGAGAATAAGGCTCCAGAATAGAAACATACAGCCTTAATGGTACCTGTCACTGTAGGTGTACAGTAGGCTGGGAGCACAGACTGGTTAGCGGTGTGACTTAGCTTGGAACAGTTGAGGAGATTGCTGTCCCCAGCTGTCCAACAGCCTCTGCTGTGGGGGCATCATCTCTGCCTGTGAGTCAGCTTCTGAATTCTTGCAGTTTACTGTGTGGTATTACCCCCACAGTTTTTAAGTGGTGTCTTAAGGCAATCAATCCATCCTTAGCACCACCACCCTATTTCCTTCTTTTTTCTTTATTAAATATCATACTTTAAGTGGCATTTCATTCAGGAGCAGACTGGCAAGTAGCTTAGGGAGGTTCAGCATGTCATAGGGAGAGTGACTAACAGTGATAAACTAATCAGACATCTGAAGCTGGGCCATCCCTGTTCCTCAGGCAGAGACTTCCTTCCTACTGAAAGCAGTAGTGGAACTTGCATCCTGTAGCATTAACCTAACTGATGGCATGCTCTGGTTTTGGAATGATTTGGTCAATGATGAATTTTCACCATTCTTCTAGTGTTGGTGTTCCTCTCATTTGTGTGAGATGAGAGCAGGACGCACAGGGAGCACAGATGTTGGCTTTCTGTTATTGTTCCGAAGCAAGTTATTTCAATCAAATGTTTGTTCCATACAGGAAACACTCAGGAGGGGAAAAGACAATGCTCCAGAAGTGGCAGGTAAGCTAAATCTTGGCTGCACATGGTTAAGCGAAGAATATCAGCATCTATCTGTGTGTCCACACACAGATATGTATGTGTATACGTATGTGCTTCAAGGCCTAAGCTGTTCTTTCACTGCTGGAGGTGAGGTTATTGGCAAGAAGAGCAGAATATTTACATGTGGTTATTGCAGAGGTTTTGTTTCTCCTCCTGTGAAACATATGGTGCTACTGTCTGGCAGATTAAGTGTGATTTTTATGCACATTTTTAAACTGAGACCAAAGGGAGCCACCTAGTTGAAGGACTGTTCACAGATCATCTGTACATCTAAATCAGTGCACCTCTCGTTTTCCCAGATGTTTTGCTGAGAGATGCATTTACTTTCCTGTACCCCTGATCTTGATGACCCAAGACACACTGAAGAAATCTATATCTTCTTGTTTATATGTAGCACTTTGTGCACCCTTTTCTGTACAGGCAGTTCAGGATTTTCCAATATACAGATAACATGCATTTGGCTCACTCTTAAATTGGTAAAAAATGCTCTGTTATGCAAATACAACATAAAAGCAATGGGCAATTACAGACAAATACAAATGGCCTGTCTGAAGAAGAGCCAGAATGAAGACTCAGATTCTGTTGAATGGATTGTTGTATAAGAGACATTGTGCTGATCTGAACGGCAATGGGTGATTGATTACACTATTTATAATTCTTGTCCTAGTGGAACAACAGGACTCGAGCGTGCCTTTGAGGCATGGTTTTCAGGGGTGGAGTTAGGAGATTGTAATGCTTGTTTCCTTTCCCTGGCAGAAGAGGGAGATCAGCAACTTTGATTACCTCATGTACCTGAACACATTGGCTGGCCGCAGCTACAATGATTACATGCAGTATCCTGTGTTTCCGTGGGTCCTTGCTGACTATCACTCCGAGGTCAGTGCTTGCTGCAGCATTCTGTACTTTCTATGATAGCAACCATACAAAGGTTTGTTGAATGATGCCGTTGAAGCAGAGAGGGGTTTAGACCAAGGGTTCAAAATCTGAGGTAGTTTGAACTGTACTGATTCTTTATAGATTAGCCTTATCTTCAAATCAGCATGCTGAGGATCACATTCTGCCTCAGAAAGGTGGATGAGCATCTGTTAAATACTTACCTATTTAAGGGCAGCCTGCATCGGCTCAGCAGACAGGCAGGAACAAGCTTCTGTGACCCCTGACAAGGAGGTTTGGACAGAAAAGCCTTGAGAGCAATTTGCAACCTGCCAGGTCCTTTATTTATGAAGCTTCTTGTACATGCTATCCTTTCAGTAGCACATGCCATCACTCTCTTTCCATCCCAGTTCTGGAGATGGGTGTTTTAGTACTGAGTCTGTGGCCTTCTTGTATAGGTGGAACTTCCAACACGGCCTTGCCACTATCCAGTGTACTGAGCTATCCATGATGTCTAAGACTCAGTGATCTAAAAATCCATATCTTTGCTGGTTTTGCTTTTCAGACTCTAAATCTTTCTAATCCTCATACATTTCGGGACCTGTCAAAGCCCATGGGAGCACAGACTGTTGAGAGAAAACGCAAGTTCATCCAGCGCTACAATGAGGTGGAGAAGAGTGAGGGTGAGTGTTTTAGGAGACTAACAGACAGCAGAAGCTTCAGCGCCCTCAGGCCTTTGAAGATGCTGGTGAATCCCTTGGAAAATGTCAGACAAAAACTTTCCACAGCTGTGGCTAAGGGAAGCACCATGTCGAGATCCTCTCACTTCTGGATACAAACTGGTTGAGGATTCAAAGAGAAATGACTCCTGCAAGTACTGCCTTATGTGCCTTGTACTGCTGCATTCTGTCCTCTTCCCTTGGGCAGGAAGAGACGCTACAGCAAAAAACAATGTTCCCTAGGAAAGACTGCTCTGTTAACTAGGCTGCACATATTAGTCTTGTCTGTTAGCTAAGCTGCATGTAGAAGACTGATGCACACAGCTTAGCTAAAAGCTACTGTAAGAAAAGGAAACAGGACATTGAAGCTGTTGACCTCTGGAGATGGACTTTTTTTGGTACTAACGGGGAAGGGGATAGTCTGGAAAGTTGAAGGCCACCTTCTTCAGAAAATAAATTGTGGAAGGCAAAAAAAGAACATACAGAGGTGTGCACAGTTACTAAACTGTGCACATTCAATGGAAATATGCAAGGTGTGCTCAGAGATCCTTGAACATATCTGCTTTAAATACCTACTCCCTCTTCAGATGTGCTGGGGTAACTGGATGCTATGGGCTTGAAATGGTGGTATTTTGCACTGAAATTTGGTTTGTGTCCAATTTCCAGGAGACCTGTCAGCCCAGTGCCATTACTGTACTCACTATTCATCAGCAATTATAGTGGCATCTTACCTGGTCCGAATGGAACCATTTACCCAGACCTTCTGTTCTCTGCAGGTAAGGGGGCAAGACAGCTTCCCTCCTACACCTTGTTATGAACCATGTAGCACATTATAGTGGCTATGTAATGAAGAAGGATTAATTCTTTCAACATTTTCTGTACACTCTGTGTGGACTCTGGGCTCACTGAAGGCTCTATGCTGTCTGTTGAATTCAGTGAAAACATCTTAATGGGAGCATGACTGATGCCTGATGATCTTGTTTTTTTCTGAGGGAGAAGTATTATTTAGTTTTGGTCCTGTGATGCATTTTGTGAGAGCTAAGGCATGTAAACACCTAGACAATGTTTTGCTACCTGTCTGAATACAAGCTTCTGACTTTAGGGCATATGAGACTTTCATGGTAGGCATTCTAAGCCCAAATGCCCATACAGTAATGCGGTTACAGGCAAGCACTTGGAGCTGGCTGTGGTGGCATAATGAGCATTTCTGGGCCAGATGAGGATGCACAGGTCCTGGTGGGTGGGGAACGATAGGGATCATGGGATCAGCTTCCTGAAGGAGAAGTGAGTGAGACTACATCCAGTGCTGGAGGAATATTTTATTTGAGCTTGTTCTGAATTTGCCATGGTTTTATGGTGCCAAAAGCACTCCCTATGGAACTGAATTTCATGGCAACTGAAATTTGTGCTTACCTTTCCCACCTGGTCATCATAAAGGGGCAACAAATTTCCTGACTGCCCTCTTCAGCAGATAGTTGGTGCCACACAAGCACAGACACTTGGGCTGTAGCAGTTGTTACCCTTATTTCTGTAATATGCCTTGTGTTATAGCAGGATCTATCAGGAGGACAGGTCCTTAAAAGTGCATTTTTTAGGGAGTCTCTTGTTGAAATCTGCCTATCCTTATGGAGCAATGAGGGAGACAGCTAGGCCAGAATATTGTAGCCTCAAGAGACTGCTGTATGTATGGTGAGGACTGGCCATACCTCCTGCAGCTCTCCAAGTGCTTTGCTGTTGTGCTGGTCTTTTTTCTTTTCTTTTTTTAATTTTATTTTTAAATGAACTAATACAAATAAAGTGCTGTGCTAATTAAGTAATAAGCCCTATGATATCAGCTGTTACCAGCGGTAGCTGATGGGTTAGTGAACCACCTGAGGCAATGGATACCATTGCACTCTGTGAGCCATATGTTAGCTGCAGTTATGAATGACTGTGGAGCAGTTATTTCTCGTAAACAACAAAGGCTGCTGTATCTCACTGGCACACTTTTCATGCATAACAAGTTCCCATTCTGAGTAGCTGCTTTGCAGCAGTATTTATGTGTGATTAGCAGGTAACCAGCATTTTTGTGGGGATAGTTACCTTCAAAGGCTGCTGAGCTCTCAAGCACTCCAAGTTTTGTGTGGATATGGATCCACTGAAACTGCTGAACTTCTTCCACTCTCATTCCTTTGCTTTTATGTAACTGCATGTTCAGTTGAGCTCATTGTTTTCACTTCTCCTAGGTGACTGGTGTTTAGTGGCTTAGGAATTGCTAACCATGAGATGCAGTCAGGCAAACAGCAGACCTGAAAACTGTATGCACAAGTCAAGAGCAGGTTGGAAAAGGAGCACTCCCAAACTTAAGACCTTGGAAGGTTGCAGGGTTGGGAGCTGTGAAAGCTTCCCAGCATCTTAAAAAGTGGAAAAGCTATGCCTAGAACTGCAAACCACCAGTCTGAAGGCACATGACAAGGAAATGCAACAACTTGGGTGCACCCCTTGTGAAAACCTGATGTTGGCTTACCATCCTCTTTCTCAAGTCAAAGAATTGATTTGCACCCTGACCACAGAAGAAGGCAGTGAGGAAGCATTGCCTCTAGTAAGGGAACTGTATGGGAGTTTACAAAACTTTGTGATTTCACATTTTAGTTAAGTATTGAGATCTGACTCTGGAGAAAAGTGTGTATGTGCTTTGCATGTTGTACTGGCATGGATAAAAAACTGGCTCTTCAGACAGGTGTTGGACAGTACCTTCTGCTTCACCTTAGCAAGTACCTCCCAGAATTCCTTTCAGGTGTTGGTCTCAGTACCACAAAAAAGCAAGAAAGGTTTCTGTGTTTAGTGTCTTTATTGGAAAGGCATTCTAGGACCCAATGCCCTCAATAATTAGTGACACTTGCTTTTGATTCAACTCAGATTTTATCCCCTTTTATTCTTATCCCACTGTTGCATTTCATCTATCAGGCTAATCTTCTTTCCTGGCATTTACCTCTCAAACAGAATAGGGTTCTTACTCTTCATTGTATCACTGACTCTTGAGCCATCATTTAAGCACTGTCGGCAGGTAATTACTTCTCAGTAACTCTGGGGATGTGGTAAGTCTTTGCACCTTCGTAAGCATCTCTTAGAAACACTTTGAGGTCTTTGGGTTTAAAGCACCACCAAGAATCTAGGATGCTTAGTTTTATAAACATAGGAAGTTCTAACTTCTCTCTAGAGAGCACTATGCCTAGTTGCTTTGTATATACCCTGATGAACTGTAGTTTTAAAAAGCGTATTTTTCCAGTATTCCTCATGACAGTGTAAGGCCTGTACTGAAAGGAAACAGAGACTTACTGTATCTAGCTATAGAAAAGCCGTAAGAGTTTATGTTGACTAGCAATCTAAAGGCATAAAGCAATTCTTGATTCTCTTTTTCCCTTTCAGTGCAGTTTTTGCATTCATAGAGAGAGAAAACTCATTAATTCTGATATAAATATATGCAAATAAATTTATTAATATAGGAAATGGGAAAATCAGTTATTGCTTCCTTTATAAATAATACAGGCTTAAGTTTTAAAGATATTACTTTTCCCTAAAATGAATTAGACAGCCAGGGAAAAAATCACATTTTTTCGTGGTGGTAATATCTTTAACCAGATTTGTCGCGCTAACAGCATTTCCTATGTATATATTATTTTTATTTAATACAGGTAATCTTTTTATTACAAATCATATTGTTTCTCAGGAGATTACCATCAGCTCTCATAAAAGCTGCAAAAAAAGATGAAAAAGCATCAATCACCACCAGACACAGCGCACTGTGTGCAGATTAAATATACAAAGCCCTTTAATATGCTTCAATGAGATACTTGTTAGCTGTTGATTTATTTATAGTCCTTCTTCTACTCTGTTTTAATTTCAATTTGAATTTGACTCCAAGGGTCCCTGCCTAATAATGATCAAGAACAAGATGACCTTGTGCATCATATTAACTCCAGCTAGGCTTACTCATGTGATTAGCCACTTTTTCACTCAGTCCCTTGAGTGGATGTGGGAAGACTTCACAATTTTCAGTGGTATAAGGAAGAAGGACATAAAATGCAAGGAAGTACAGCAGAACTATGTTGTCATTTAGAGATGAGGCTGAACCAAAAACCTGGTCAGAATTCACTTTGGGGGAAACAGCGCCAGGGACTTTCCATCTGGAATATCTTTTGGCTTTTGGTGCGAGTCTATCTCAAAAGACAAGCAAGGAGATGTGGCTTCAGAACTTAGGGTTTATTGACTTCTATGTTTTGGTAGCTTATCCATAAGGGTAGTTTCTCCCTAACAAATGATAATGGCAAAAGTTATTTCTGACTTGCAGTTCCTAGACTTAGCAGAGTTTGTAGATCCAAAGGAGTTGCATCATAAGTGTGCAGGTACTTGATGGTCAAAAGAGCAGTGGTTCTTACCATCAGAAACCAATGTGGGAACTGCTGCTAAGACTCCAAGCTTTATGGTATTCTCAAACTACATACCTACAAACCAGGACTAAAACAGACCTTAATATAAGATCACAGTAAACAGAGCTGGGACAGATTTTGAGATATCACCTAATCAAACATATGATGAGGTGATTATTGCAGAATTGGCTGAGATTCTGCATCTGCGTCTTATTTAATGGAATATTCACACTGCAGTGTTTTTATCTGCCTCCATTTCACAGGGTGGGAGTTTTGATGTTGCAGACAGGATGTTTCACAGTGTCAAGAGCACGTGGGAATCGGCATCAAGGGACAACATGAGCGATGTCAGGGAACTCATCCCTGAATTCTTCTACTTGCCAGAGTTCCTAACCAATGTGAATCACTTTGAACTTGGTAAGTGCTAGAAGGGTGTTCAGTGCTCCCCTTCTGCTCCCCAGCATCCTTTCAAGGGAAAAGATCTGGATTACATGTTGGGAGTTGGTCCCTGGACTATGCTGACTGATGAGGCTCTTTAGCGATGACAGATCAATTTTTATTAAAATAAGGCTACAAGAATACAAGCTTCTGATATCTGAATGATATCAGAAACCCCATGTTTCTAGCTCAGAAGGGATTGTAGTTCCTATTAGTTACTGTGCAAGGGAATTGCAAATTTTGTCAGACAAAAGTAAATTTCAATATAAGCAGTCTAGATGGCTGCTTTTGAAAATCTGGTTTGTATCATCACATCTATGTGGCTATGAACAATAGATTAATTTGATTTTTGGAGATGGATCAATTGTTAAATGGTCTTGGTGAAAGGTATTTTTTTAAATCTTATGTCTCTGGTGATTAAAGTTACCAAATGTCTTCACTATCATCCTGAAAGGTTCTGCACAAGCCACATGAACCTGATATATCATCCCTGGCCCCAAGCAACAGCACAATCTCTTCTGAATGTACACCATCTCTAGACCTTTCTGCATCAGTGATGGAGGGTCAGAGAGAATCCAGAAAAAATACTATTCAGAAATAGGCACGGCACTTCACTTTAGAGGAAATTCACATCATTTGCAATACAAAGCTGCTTTTTGTAGTGGATACAAGTTGGTTAACAATTAAGGCAGAGGAGAAGTACCTTAAGAATCATCCTAAATTAGTCACAGCAAAGGAAATGTAACCTGTGGTGTTGAGATCTAGCTATAATTGTATTTAAGATCTCAGTGAAATAAGATGTGCTAAGAAAAGGCAGAATGGGAAAAAAATGTTAGAATATTGTTAAAAGATAAGAAAGAATTGGGGTTGTTTCATCCTGCAAGGAGGCCAAGAAACAAAGCCTGGTTGAAATCAATGTTCAGAATCTGACATGAGTGGAATCAAGTGGAGGTACCTAAAAAAGATACCAGAATCTTGCCAATAGAGAGAAAATATACAGGAAGATTTTTATAATGAACAAAGCCAAGAACCCGATTCTGTTCACTGCTACACTGTAAGGAAACTTGCGGTCCCAGACCTGAGCCTTAACTTAGATTTGAATTCACCCAGTTGTGCAACACTGTGCTCAGCTTAAGAACATATGCTCATCTACTGAAAGGAATCAGATTCCAAAGGACTTAAGAACAAAATCCCTCCCAGTGGCTGCGTTAGTAGGAATATCTAGCAGTTAGGCCCATGGGATTATGTATAAAAAGTAAGTTGTGCCGACAGGTTTTTCTTGTCTGAATTTGCAGTCTGTGCTCAAACGGTTTGTGCTGAGGATGTACATATCTTTTACTGTATTAGCAACAGTTACTATAACTTCTCAGTGCTTTATTTCTAGATCAGAAATCCCAGGAGGAATTGGTTCTGCAGTGTTCTATGGCACTATAATTGATGTAGAACCTGAAACAGCATGTGTGAAAATCACATCCATTTCCTTTGACTTAAGTGTTTTAGAAAAACTGTTCCTATTTGCAATGTGTGTGATTCTTGTTTTTAATTCTCCCTTTCTAATTCCTGCAGGCTGCATGCAGGATGGAACAGTGCTGGGAGATGTGCAGCTTCCTCCTTGGGCAGATGGGGACCCCCATAAATTCATTCTCCTGCACAGAGAGGTCAGTGAATATCAAGATTTGTGACAAAATGCTGAATCGGGTCCCACTGAAAATGAAACTCTGAAGGCCAGAGTCACAAACCAAAATGTTAGATCCAAATGCATCCTGCCTTTGCAGAGTTCGTGCTGGTTTCTGAACTTCGTGTGTCTACTTATCTGCCTAACAATTCCCCCTGAATCAAGGCAAACCAGGTGAGGTTTGTATCTAGGTCTGTGGCATGGACCAATCTCGGCCCGTAAGTGTATGTGAACATAACATAGTGCATGCACATGGCATTTATATGCATACAGTTCCATGTTGTTGCTAACCAGCTGTGTGTTTAAACTACCTACCTCCATCTCTGTGTCACGCCAGGACTGCAATTATTTTTTTTATTGATGGGGAGACGGGACCTAATGTGATAGGGAACCTAATGTGATTTCCTGTCTTTAATGGAGTCAGCCTTGGCAATTTGAAAATAGTTAGCTTTAAGGTCTTGAGACTTACTGCAATTAGTGCTATCTATTCATAGTTAGAAAGTCTTACTTCTGTATGATGTCACCTGCTACGTAGTAGTGAGTGCAAAGACAATTCTGTAGGAAGGTTGTAGCTTTGAACACAGACTTTGCTGCTGAGTATCTTGGTGTAGGACTCTCCTTTTGTTAGCACTAAAAAGGCAACGGGCTGTGCTATAGTGAACCTGCGTTATCTCATCAGATTTCCTCTGACAAAAGGAGTCAATCTGTATTTGTGAGTGTGTGCACATTGTTGCTGTGTACAAGAAGCGTAATGATTATATGTGTTAGCATTGTTGGGACTAAACAAATAGCCCAAGATTTTCAAGACATTGCATCATCCTGGTTTGTCATGTGTACCTTCAAGTTTCTACTTCAGTGGGTTCTTCTCACCTTTCCTGTGCTATGCAGGCTGTGCCCTTGAGGGTTCAGCTTTCACTTTCAACAATGTCTTTGTAGGCGATTGCATCCAAACCTGTGGCTACAACAATCTTCTCTATTTTGATATCTCCCAAATAAGCCTCTCTTCAACTGACCTCTCCAAATGCTCGTTCCTAAATCCTGTCTCTGACCTCCTTACTGACTGCCTTAACTCTTTGTTCCTGTTTCGAACAAAACCAGAGTCATACTGTTGTAAATATTCTTTTCTCCACTGTTCCCTTAACCATTGACAGGAACTACCAGGCTCCCATTAAGTTACCATTGCTTTGCAATTCTGTGCTGCATTCAGAGTCCATACTTTTTGTGATTTTTCTGTACTACTAAATCATTGCCGTGTTTTCTTGGGCATTCTCTTGAATCTTCATCTCATTCTTTCTGATATCCCGATACCTTGTTTCAAGTCAGTACAGAGACAACTGGAAGGGGACCATCTTCATTGTCTGGCATCTCCTTCCCCTTGCCCTTATATTTTGAACTTCTGTATGGGTCTACTTCTTATACCTCAAGTGTCCCTCTTGAGACCCTACACATCTGTTTGATTTATTTGTTCTGGTGGCTTCTTACATCTTCTTCTCCCTGCAGGCACCTGAGTGCTGTCAGAAATCCAGTCTTAGTCCCAATGTTTGGCAATGCAGTTTTATCCATGTTAAAAAAAAAAAAAAAAAAAAAACCCCTTATAAACTGGTCTATGGGCTGTGAATCCATCCTGGAAAAAAAACGTTCTTCTATTAGTTTTAAGAGAACAGGCTCCTGGTAGTGTACATCAAAGACAAGTCAGTGCTTTGGACCACCTGCATCCCGTGCTGTCTGTGTAGATTCCTGATGCCTCAAACACTTTGGCTTCTGAATAGTTCTGAGTATGAGAGTGAGTCTGTTCAACTCTGGATTCATTCACATGTGCTCAGGTTACTCCTGTGAGTGAACATGGATATGATCTGAGCCTGTGCATGCCTAATTTTTTGTGCAGTAGTCCTGCCTTTGTTTCTTTTTTAGAATTGTTGAGCATATAGTGAGATATTTCATTTTTGGTTTAATTGATGAACTCTCTTTATCTAAGTCCCTTTAGTCTCTATTGTGAATTCATGACCTGAACACTTCACTTAAGTCTCTGTCAGAACAATAATGCTAAAAAAATACTTAAGCAGTTAAATTTCTATCTTGGTATTTTACCTATTTTGAAATGGTATATATTTATTTCAAATGTTGTTTTCAATCATTTTGAAAATGTGATTGAAAGTAGTCACCTACCACTTTTTGCACCAGAATACTTCCTCAATACATAAAAGTTCGTGAATTATTGATATTCCAAGTTACGTGGTGTGGAGAATAGCTGCTTACTATTATTAGCAGGTCTCAAGTGTCTCTATGCCTAGTAGCCTGACTCAGTGGTGTGCTGCCACACAGTTTAGTAACCTAAGCCAGTACATTAAATTTACAGCATATTCAGTAACTGATCAGTCCCTTTACAGAAGCTACATTAATCTTCTTGTTCTTTGTATTTCTGTAGCAGTTACATGTGTAACTCAGATCACAGCCCACTATTACTGGGCTGACAAGCACACAGTCAGTAGACCTGTCTGAGGAAAAAATGTATGGAAGAGCTTTTCACCAGGAAACTAGTTAGGCTGAAACGGGAGTGTGTCTGTAGTAACAAAAAAAAGTCTCGGTAAATCGTTTCAACTTTCTGTCTTTGTTATCAAAACATTTCAAAATTATCTTTTCATTGCAATGTTTATATTGCATAAAATACTTTGTTGTAGACATTATGACTAATATTGTATGGTATATAGCTTCATTATTATACAAGGATGTAATTTTTTCAAATTTAGAATTGGGCGGGTAGTATTTTAATACATGACAAAATTTGAGAGCTGGGCTTTTTGTTCTGATTTGGAAAGAAAACATTATTCAGTGTTTGAATTTCCCCCAGAACCTGGCTTCCATTTTTCAGTCAGACTATTTTTGAGCCTGTTTGCAACCTATTAGCTTGAGTGGATAAAGAGAGGATGTTTTTGCCAAAGAACTGAGATGCAGAGAGATTTACAGCTATGTTTGGACTGCTTAAGCTCCTGTATATACACAATAATAGATATTACAATAATAGGTGTTACTGAGTTGGGCATCTCTGAAGGTGCCTAGAGAGTGATTCAGAGATTCAGAGCTCTAGTCACACTGAAAGGTAGTGGAAGGGAAGAGAAACCTGAGTTTTTGTCAGTGCCCATAACCACATAATGATACATCTACTATGAGAAAGGACATCCTTGTGTAAGTGTTGTGTGCACTGCAGGCTTGCTGCTCAAAGTACAGTCTTTGCTAAAATGAAGAGTTGAGCCTAGGGAGTGCCCAATCCCTTCCCTTGCAGGGGAGCAGCTCAGTGCTACCCACTACAAATAGGTTTTGACCACTAAGATCAAACATGAAACAGCTCCCTGGTGTTCCCCAGTGTCTCCAATGAAGGCATATAGGCTTTTGGGGCGCTCTGGTTCCTTTCTCTGCTCTGTCTCAAGCTCTCTCTGAGACCTTTCAAGGTGCTTAGTCTCTGTTCTCCAGTTTCTCAAACATGGGAGAAATAACACTGTCCTCCCCTTAACAGAGGTGCTGTAGACAGAAATCTATGGGTGCATGAAAGCTGCTGCAATTTTACACTGACATTTTTTATAGAAAAACATAGAGACAAATACTGTCTCTTACATTGTGGCTTTTTTGCAGTGTAAAGTACCGAGGCATGTTCCTTACTGCTTGTGTAATGGTGGGCACTCCAAAGGCACTTAGATACAACGGGGAACATTTGCTTTTGCCTTGTACTTTGGAGTAAGGGTACAGCTGGGAAATGAATCTATCCATCACCACTGCATAGCATGGTTTTGCTCTCATTGTAGAGTGATCTCAGATTGTGTGAACTAGATTTGTTTTGGATGAAACGAAACCAAAAGCTGCATTCCGGTTGTGCACTCCAGATGCTGGTGGCATTCAGCCTGTGGGAGCAGACTAGATCTAGTTTGAAGTAAAACCCCCACAGTGCGTGTAATGTGGATACTGGGCCCTCTCTACCATCTGTTCTGTTCTACGGATCTGCTTCCACTGAGCTGCACTATTTGATAACATTGGCACAGCTGAGAAAGAGCTATAGGAGCAGATAGGAGCAGTTTAGCAAATGAAAGATCATGTTTATAACTCGTGTTCTTAATGATTTGCCAGACCTGATCAGACCTCATGTGCAGTCAGTCCAATATTCTCTCTCCAACCATAGTTAGTACTAAATGTTACACAGGAAGGTGCAAGAAATCTTGCTGTTAAAAGAAAGTTGATTAACCTGCCTGGGAAAGTTCATCTAACTCTGAAGTGAAGAGTTAGAGATGTTGAATTCTGAAACATGAGGGTTTCTGTCTCCTCTGAAATCATCCACAAGATTGGATGTGCTTGTTATTGGTATCATGGTCATTTTTAGGAGGCTTCACAGTGAATTTAGTGCATTAAACAGATCCAGGTCAACACTGTTCTGAGGTTTGGCTATTGCTTTAAAGAATATGAGAGCTAAGAATTGTTCTTGACATAAAATTGTGAGTAGCTCCTGTGTCATATTTAGTAAGTCAGGGATCTAGTGTACTAAAGAAACATACTCCCTCCTGAGTCCACAAGTTCTCCCTCCCTGGCTGGGCTTGTCATAGTGCTCTGTGAAATACTGAGAGGCTGCACAGTTGCAGCTCTGGTTGCTTTGTTTCGCTCTGGTAGGGATGCCAGGCAAAATTTACAGTTTGCAGTTCATGGACTAACTGCTCTTATTAATGAGGATGAGTTCTGAGTCTGTTCGTAAGTGTTTTCCTGTTGTTTGCAGGGGACAGATTGTATGCCGTGCTTGTTCTCTGAGCTGCCCTGTGATCATTATAGCTGTGGGCAGGGTCATTTAAACCAGCTGCACTGGGCTAACTGTCTGCTCTGTGAAATGAGCCATTGTTCTGGATCCCATTAGCTTGTTTATTTCTGCTGTGCTTTGGGTGGGATGGTCTGCTTGGGAGACCTTTAACTGAGCATCAGGGAGTAATGCACAGTCAAATGATTTGGAGATAAGAAAGTATTTTTAATAATGCTTAACACTGCTGCTTGAATTATTGGGCAAGGCCATTTGCAAGTGCACAAAAATTTGGTGAGGCAGGTGATGACAGGGACAGCAGGATTTAGTGAAGCCTCATCGGTAAGGTTGGCTAACCTGGAGGTGGGCAAAGGTTCAGCTCAAACTTGTGTCCACTGCTTATGAACTTGCTGTCTGGGTTTTCCAAACATAAGTTTTCTGCTATGATTACGCTGAGCTTTCTAGGGAGCCCACATTGGGGTGGATATATTGCCTTGTAATATCTCTCACAGTCTTCTCCAGTAGTGATTGTTTCTTCTGATTCCATTAATCCACACACCTGTCACTATAGGTGGTAAATCTAATCAAAGTTAACTATTTCTTATTTGGGGGAAAAGAGTTCAGACACTGAATTTTTCCAGGATGAGGAAATCTGGTATTGTGACTCTTTCTCAAGCCTTGCAAGAATAGCAAAATGTTTCTTGAACAAACCCAAGCAGTCTTGAAGCTTCTGTCATACAGCTGCCCTGCTGCATCCCAACTCTACTATTGCGAAACCCCTTCCCTGTCTTGGCTTGCAACACCCCTTGCCATTTCAGTACAAGCTCTACATTCTCTTTGCTGTTTCATGGCATGCAGCCGCTCCTGCTGTATCCTTCAGACCCAACTTAAAGCCCCTCTGCTAGTCGTCTCTCTTTCCAATCTATGCTTATATAAGTCTTCTCCAATAAAGAGAAGACTTCTCCATGCTACTTGGTAGGATTCATAACTAAGGCATATTTCTACAAATAGACTAGTGCCTTAATTCACCTGTGTTTTATCTATAGAGAAAAGTGGTGGTACCAAACACAAACAAATGTTTTGCTCATTTAAACCATCTTGTGTTCAGTAACAGTATTGGTGAAGACATGATAACACAGGCTTTAATGTATGCTGGAAACTGGAGGATGTGCCAAGATCAGTGGAGTGCTTGCACTTTGCTTGGTGAAACCCGTCTGTGTTGTCTCTGAGGATATTGCTTCTGGTGTCTGCTAAACCAAGCATGCTGCACTCTGTCTTTCCTTTTCCTGTGGGGATCCACCCTTCATCTCTTTGGTCACATTTTGTGAGAATGTGCTGAGAATGATGGTACTGGAGGAACTGAATCACTGAAGATTCACTTGCAGAGAATTTAAATCTCCAGAAGGGATTGGAAAGCGGTAATGCATTTGTAATAGATACACTCTACTGAATTAATTAATTCTCTTTTGGTTTCAGGCACTGGAAAGTGACTATGTCAGTGCACACCTCCATCGCTGGATAGATCTGATTTTTGGCCACAAGCAACATGGCTCAGCTGCAGTGGAGGCAGTTAACACCTATCACCCTTACTTTTATGGAGACAAGATGGACCTCAACAATATTAAAGATCCTCTGATTAAGAGCACCATCCTGGGTTTTATCAGCAACTTTGGACAGATACCAAAGCAGGTACCACTTTATCATGAGAATAGAGAGCATAATTTATTTTGATCTTACAGTATTTCAACTGGAAAGCAAGAATAGAAATTTTAAATCAGAGACGTTTTCTGATTTAAATCTGCTGAAACATGGGCTATAAGTTTCTCCACACTGTATACTATGTCAGTATGCACTCACATACGTGCATACGTGTGTGTGATTCCACTTTCTAATCATTCTGTTCCTGTTGTATGCCATAGAGCTGTGGCATCAAATCTGAATTCTGCTTCTTCAGTACAGTCACATGAGTAACTAGTCTGGGAATGGGTACAGTCAAATAAAAGCAGCTCAAAGTCTCACCTATACTCTTCTTTCTTCTCCTGAATCACTGGGATTAGCTTCCTATCTCTGTGAGGAAGGGATGTAGTCTGATGAGAATTTAAGAAGTGTAAGATTTTATTTTAATGAAGAGGTTCATGTATGACAGTCCTGGAGTCTATGATTAAGGATTTAAACAGATGTCTCTCCTGCGTGATCTGGCAAATAGAGATTCATTTTTCAATGCCATTCCTTTTTCCTAGCTTATGCCCAAGGGAAAAGTTCATCAGGAAGAGAGACTGTGCTCCCCCTTCACTCAAGTGGAATTCTTCCTCCTTTTATGAGCAGCCTGCAAAATCTGAAGCTCTCACCAGTTACAATAAAAGGTGCTGCAGGGGCTATACTCCATTTTCTGACCTAATAAGTACAGAATTCTTGAATGGGGTGAAGTGAATCTGGATTTTCAAGAGCACAGAAATAGTCACACAGCTTTGTATGAGTTGGTATAATCAAGATCCCTTCTGCCAACTGTTGTTTGTGTATGTGTGTATTGTGAGTGGGCATTGAAAACACTCAAATACTCAGGAGAAATCTTGAACTTTCTTCTACATTCTGAACATGTTAAATTGAAACATAAAGCTGACTCTCTTCCATTCTCATTCTCTCTTTTTATATTCAACAGCAAAGTAAATAGTGTCTGTCTTTCTCCACTTCTCAATTTTCAAATCTTTTTTTCTTAGTCTGTTACTTTTCTTACCATGAAGAAGCCTGAAAAACTTCAGTGTGTCTACTTTTTCATCCCATGGTGGTGTGTGTGTGTTTACATCACACAACTTCGTGGGGACAGTGGGCTCCTGTAGCTGTACTACAGAGGCTGTTGGTGACATGCCTGGCAACCTCTATAGTGCATGGCATAAGGCAGTCTGCCAATGAAAAGGAGCTTAATGACACCGCTGTTAAACCCACTCCTTTGGAGTACATCATTTCTGCATGGATTTATATGGTCCAACAGAGAGAAGTGTTTCCGCTATTCTGTCTGGAATCTCAGTTGTAGAGTGGAATTCTGTCTATGGGCCTGGCCACAGCACTGAGCCCAGTTTTGGGATTTGCCAGCCTCACCACACAAGCTGTGCAAGGAGGAAAGTTAACATAAGTGCTCTAAAACCAACAGAATTAAATATGTTCTCTGTCTTGTCAGACTATCCCAAGGGAGCTATTGGGCACATCGTTCATACTGAGAAAAGCATTCTGGCTGTCGAAAAAAATAAAGTTTTGATTCCTCCTCACTGGAACAAAACATTCTGCTGGGGATTTGAGGATTTCACCTGCTGCTTTGGCAACTATGGGTCTGAGAAGGTAAATAAGAAAAAGTCTAAGCATTCCAGAAATGAATGATATGTGTGTTCTTTGGCTGGTTTGGGCACCCATTTCAGAGGTTGTTGGGGAGCTGATTTCAGAGGATGCTGTACAGGACTTTCTCACAGTCAAGCTTCTTGAGGAATCTCAGGTTGGATATCCCAACAGAGTACAAAGTCCTCTACGCTGCTGAAAAATGTGGCATTTCCCCTCTAAATTATCTCAAATTTTCCTTCCAGTGATTGTGTTGTCTGTCAAAATGAAGGAGAAACTCCATTTCATGGGTTCTAAGGACAATACAAGGTCTCCTGGCCACTGATTAGAAATTTCATTGTGCAGAACTTTGTGCTGGAATTATAACAGGACCATCTGTCGATTCCCCTCTGGCTCCCAAGCTTAGCCCAGTGCATTCATTCAAAATAATAATGTCTTGTATTTTAGAAAGTTAATACTCTTACTTCTTTGCTGTTAAAAGTCAATGGTCAATGTCATCACACTCCTTGTTAGGGCACTTGACAGATCGAGTTTCTTCCCCTACCACAAACACACTGATTTTTGGATGTATTTGGGACAATTTTATGACACACAAAGACATCTGAGTTAGCTTGGGTACCAGAATTGCAGAATATGTCATTCAGCAAGATATTGACTTGGGTATTTGTGCAAGCGCAAGCCACATCCTATTTTTACAGACATACCCACAGTCAATGGAAGTGAAAAAGCCATGAGATGTATTGTACTTTCTGCTCCCTGCATAAAATTACTGAGAGTTTTCTCCATTTATTTCAAATAAAATCAGTGCTTAGCAATTTATAGTGCTGCTGTAGGTAAAAGTTATTTGCTTTACCTCTTCAAAAGTCAGAGTGTCACTGAGCATAGTGAGTGTGATTATACAGTCACTATGAGAAGTAGCTGGGAGTCAAACTTGAGTTCCCTCTGGGTCAACAGTGACTCTGGACATGAGCTTAAAAGAAATTTTTGTCCTCATTCTAAGTAGGTAAAAGTTTGTTCTGTCTGTGGCATGGTTTTTGTATCCGTGCCATCCAGCTCCACCAGAATCATTAGCGCCACAGTGGTGTCTCTGTTGTGTGGGAGAGGGCTAATGCAGATGTGAGTAGAAGGATGTTGGTGTTGTAACTGTAGCAATGTGTAATAGATCTGACCTTGGTTTAGGCTGGTTTGGGTGCTGCTAACAGAGCCATTGGCGCAGAATGGAATTCAGTCCTTTGGTTTTTGTCTTTTCAATCCAAGTAAAAGAAGGGTTGCAGAGCCTGGCACTGACTCTGTTAGCAGTGGCCATCACAGCCTGAGCTTTCTTTTTAACCTACATTGAATGTTTGCATTCTGTCACTATACGGTGACAGAATGAGCTTGCCTAAAGTTATGTAGGAAGTCTGTAGCACAAGAGGGATTGGGACTCAGGTCTCCTGAGAGAGAAGAGACTGACCTTTGTCCAGCCTTCCTGCTTAGCCCCGGAGGATGGCACGGCAGCATGCAGCCACAGCCTGTGCGTGTACACCTTATGCAGCTGTGCTGTGAGCATAGAGACTGGCTGAGATTTTCTTTCCTGGATTTGAAGAAATGGAGGCTCAGTTCTGAAAAATCTGCCATTTAGTGTTAATAAATGTATGGTATCACCAGATGAGCATTTGACTTAAAGCTGCTTTCTTGTACAGAATGTGACTACATTTGAGTGCATGGCAGACTGGGGAAAGTGCCTCTGCGCTGTGTGTCCTACAGCAACTACCATAATCACATCTGGAACAAGCTCGGTTGTGTGTGTCTGGGAACTTTCATTGGTGAAGGACAAAGTGAAATGTCTAAACTTCAGACAGGTCAGTATTGTGCCTCTTTTGCTATAGAAACTTAATGAAAGCCAAAAGATGAGTTTCTGTCTCAGATGACTGGCAGAGGAAACACTTTTGGGTGAATAAGAAAGCAGAAAAAAAAAATCAATAATCAGCAGTATTATGTGACAGCCTGTTATCAGGTCAGGAGCTGATAATATGCCTTATACACACAGCTTATAGCTGTGAACTCTGCTTAATTGTTTTGATGGCTTTTTTTTCTTTGGTAACATTTCCAAAGTTTACCATGATCAAAGCAACAGTGAAGATAAGGCATATGCTCTCCTCACTTGAAGTACAATCAACCCTTGGATTATTTTCAAAACTCAGTATGGCCTGGAGATGCTTGTAGTTCTTTTGGGGCTGCTACAGCAATGGACAGGCTCTCCAAAACACCTTATGAACTTAGCTGATGGAGATGAAGGCTCAGCTAGGCAAAGCTCTTGATTCTTTTCTCTCAACCTGAATTCAGAACATAAAAGGTTTATCTGTCACTCCATGAGATAGGGGTGCATCCAATGAGAATGACACAGTTTGTGTCCTCATTGTCTGAAGTCCTTTAGTGGTTGTTGATTTGGAGCTTGTCTATAGTCATCAAACAGCTGTATAAAAGCTATTTCATTTACAAAAGTGAATTCTTATGCAAGATTTGTGTTGTTCAGCTATGGTGAGTGCTCAGTTTTACAAGTACAGCTAGAGTACACCTCTGTCATATCTGAAAGGCAGCATGGGACCCTTTTTCCCTAAGAAATCAAGAGACAGGCAGACTTTTAGGCAAACTAGTAAAGGGTTCACGGATCAGCAAGATCTCAAAGTATGAGAAGGTTCTTCTGTTCACTTGCTCTGGAGGGATATTCAGATGATATTTCAGTGCTTTCCATTCACTGAGCCAAAACGTTTTATTTGTCATTAAATTATGATGTGAAAACTTCAATGTCTGCTGGGATATCAAAGTAGTATTTAGATCTTCATTTACTTGAAATTCTTGTGTGTTGAAATTAAGGGTGAAACTGTTTAGAGCAGTCTCTCTTTTGAGTTTGTGATGTTTCCTGCTTGAGAAGAAGCCAGAAATATGAGACAAGGTCTTCAGTGATGACCTTTTAATCCAGCTGGTTATTATGCCAAACCAGGACATGGACATAGAAATGGGAAAAATAGCAACAGAGAAAAGCATAAGCAGTAATCTTCAACATCAAAATGATACCAGTCAGGGGGTCAGTCTGAGTTTTAGGCAACTGTTTGAAGAGGCTGTCTTTTACCTCCAATATAATGCCTTTCTCTTTCACAGTCTAAAATCAGCTTTGCTGATGTGTTCCAGTATGATTAATCTGGTATTACCCAAAGTCCACAAAGTGGCATGAGATCATGCGATGACAAATTCTGTATTTTCCTTCTATTTGCTAGCAGAGGCCTTTTTTGATGGCTGTCTGGCATAGATGTAAACTCGAACTATGGTTCTAAATGTCTTCCAGTGAATTACTTGATGCTTTCATGTAATTCACTTCTTCATGGTGGCTGCTTTTTCTGCTGAACAAAAATATTGTATCATCTTTCCTGAGAGAGTGAGCTTTGCTTAAGTAAAGCTGATGTGCTATAAAGTGGATGCTATTCACTTACCAGCTGTCTCATGGGACTGACACATTCTGGTTTGGAAATGTAGTAAAGTATAGAAACTATATTTCAGCAGAAAAAGTCGCTTTTCCCTCTATAGCAGGGGCTTCTTCCACAGTTTTGTAGAATACTAAAGATTGAGCATAATAGCCTCAGTATTGATCCTTGCAATTTACCAGTTCCCTCAGTGTTCATGAGCAGAGCTATCTGTGCGATCCAGCCCCCAGAATTTATGGGCCAAATGAAACACTAGAATGGGAGAAGTATCCAGGAAAGCTGTGCTGTCTGCCACACAGACCTCTCAGGGAGGTGTTGAGTGTAGCTGTGAAGTGTCCATGTCCATGTCAGCCAGTTAAATTGGATGCTCAAACTTGGTTTAAGTTTTCATGGACTAAGGATTCCTGCAGTAAAACTCGTCATCTTTTTTGTCTTTTGATATTTGTGAATTTACACCGATAATGTAAGTTATCCACAGTTCTTTCTGCAGATACACTGCAGGATATTTCCCAGTAAGGGAAAACCTGTCAGGCTTTGCAGAGCAATAATGAGAAGATAGTACAGAGCTAAAAGCATGCAACTGTTTTTGCATGAATATATGTTGAGACACTGGTGGATTGAAGCTGAGGTCATAACTGGGCTCAGATCTAGCCCTCTCCTCCACATTCAGCTTGTATTTAAAGCACTTCACTGCCAGGTAGGATCTTTCTGGATTAAAACAAATTAAAAAAGGGTTTTATTAAAACTTGTGCAGGAGCTGAGCTTGGTTTGACTTGGCAGTTTGCGTCCTGTCACAGTGGGTATGTTTTCTTCCACGCTTTGGAAGAAGGAGAGGAAATCTGGAGCTTTTGAACCTGCCTTGTCCCAGCCCTTTTTGCAGAGGTCTCATGCAGTTCTTGAGCACAGGCACTGGGTTATGTCCAGTCTTTTGTAAACAGACTGTTCTACAGCCAGTCCAAAGCTATTCTATGCTCAGTTGAGAGTCTTTCCGACTTCTGAAAACCACTGTTGGAGACCCCATTTTGTGCCAGTATTTTTAGTCAACAGTTCTTGCGAATGGAATAAATCACAAGCTGAAATTCATCCCTTGCAGTCGCAGGTCACCTTCAGTAGTACATAGCCTGCTGCAGCTCAGCTTCTTCACCAGTGGATTAATGTTTGAATATTGTTGTCCTAGTAACCTTGGCAAGTGGCAGCACATGTTAGCCAGCAAGAGCTCAGTCTCAGTCACACGCTGGAAAAGAGTATGAGACGTGTTTGCAAAAATCTTCCGGGACATGTGGCTATCCTGCTCCATGCTGAACTGAGACAGACCCTGAAGATGTGCTAATTATGTCATGTAGAGAAACCCAGCAGGGAATATGCATTTACTGTTAAAACCAACATTAAAACTGGTTGGTCTGATTTTTCACAGTAAGGCAGCTAAAAATTGGGCCCTGAAAGGCCTTTTAGGAAAACTGTGAAGGACTTTTTCTCTGTTGCCCTACAGGCTTTACTTTCATTAGTGGTTATGCGGCAGAAATGTATACTGCTGTCACTCAAGAATGCTGCCTTAAACAATTGTCATCAGTATACTTCTATCCATTATTTCTATCTATTGAATTGCTATTGAATTGCTTAAAATGTAGTCTTTTTTTATGAAACTGTTTAAGGCTAAATTAAACTGGGCACTCCTTATGTCTCTAGCACCTATAAAGCAAACAAAAAGAAAAAGGATGTTGTATAATCATGAAAGACAAAGGAATTCATATATGGCTTTAAAGCAAAAATTATCTCCAAATATGTTTTTCTTAACTAAAATTGGAAAAATAGTAGTATTTGTTCAGAAAAACAGAAAGAAAGGGCTGGGGAAAGTCACTGAAATACAACCCGATAAGTTTTGTTTCAAATTTTTTTTTTTTCCTTAAATATTGAGAAACAGTAATTTCCAAGCATAAATTTTACTTAAAACTACATGGACTGAAGTGAAAGATGATGTTTTGCTGAACACAAAGCACTGTCGTAGAGTCTGAAATGCATGCCAAGGGTTCTGAGTTAATGTGCAGCTTGGGGCAAATCATTTAATCTCTTGGAGACTCAACTTTCCTCAACCACAAGTTGAGGACAAGGATGTTTCTGTAAGATCCTTTGGGATTTCCCCCTCATACCTTTTTCAGCTGTCCAAAGAATGACTATGCTGCTTGTTCTTACTAAGCAAATGACAGTAGGACTGTGGTTTCCTAGTAAATCAGACACCCTCTGCTGTGGTTTATTGGTTGTTTTTTCCCCACAAGGCTTTGTATGGGCACACTCAGGCAGTGACCTGCCTTGCTGCATCTGTGACCTACAGCATCTTCGTGAGTGGATCTGATGACAGAACCTGCATCATTTGGGACCTGAACCAGCTGACGTACATAAACCAGCTTCCTGCCCATGAGGCAAGCCTCTGTTCTGTTGCCATCAACAATTCAACAGTAAGATCTTCATTTATCATCTTTCTTCTGATGTATCCATGAACATTTCATGATAACTTAATGGGTGCTCTTCCCAACATAAAAACATCCTGAGAGTCTGATACATTGATTTTTTTTTTCTTTCTACAGAGATTGCTAATAGTGTTCTTAATGACGAGAGGCGAGCACTAAAAGCAACGTCTTAGACTGAGTAGCTAAGTAGAAGCATCTTTGGATGGGTAGATAGCAGGATTAAACAACTTTTAGTTTACAGAGCATGAAGTATTACCCTAGTAGCTCCTGGATTTGTCTCACCCGTAATAACCTTATTGCCTCCATTATTTCATTAATTTCTCCTGACATTCATGCAGCAGAGCCATGTCAGCTGAGACATGTTAGACCTCAGTCTGCCACCTCAGCTGACAACTTCCTTACACCTTTGTAGTGACAATGTTGACTTTACTTTTGCTGCTACTCGCAGGTGCTAGGGAGAGCTCTGGATAGCAGTAGGTATAAGTCTGTTGTGGTCTGTGCTTGGCCAGAATTGCATGCGTGTTGATAGGAAAATATTCTGCACTGGATTTTATTGTAAACACTCTGGATGAGATTTTTCCAGCCTTCCACCTCCCAAAAATGTTGCTTGTCTCTGTTAATGTACTAGAGCAGGATTCCAGCTGATCAGACAATTCAAGGTTGGATCCAGTAGCAGAGCTTTACCAAAAGAGGTAAAATTGAGTTCATAGCAGTAAGAGAACAGGCAGACCTTCTTTATTTAGTCTGTGAAAAGATATTCATCTCATATCGGAGCTTTATTAATCATGCAGTCTGATGGTTACTAATTGAGGGTGGGAATTAAGGAGTCTAGTCAATACCAGCTCAGGTCCTAGCTCCAGGGATCCTGGTTAGTGTAAAATGGCCAGTGGCTTCAGCAGGCCAGTTCAGAGTACCCTGGTGGTCCCTTATGAAGTCAGCTGAAGCAGTGCCATGCATTCAGAAATGAGTGGATGGGCTGGCACAGACCATGGGCTTGAGACCGCAAGAGGATGGAGTCCTCTCCTTTCTATGTACTAGCCCACCATTGACGGTAGCCTTTTTAGTTGGTAGCTTCTCTTCTGGAGCTGTCCAAAACTGAGATGGCCTGTATCAGGAACGGTCTGGTGATTGATCCAAGAGCAGTCCTCCAGCTTGTTGCAGTGCAAATGGTTAAACTGGTTGGACAATAGTCTGCAGAAAGGTTCATTTAAAAGCAGAAAAAACTTAGGAAAGTATGACTGAAACTTTGAGGGGAAAAAACATGAAAGGGTCCATATGTTGTGGATGAAAAAAATTATTTTTGACGTTAGCAGAACAGGATGTTTAATTCCGAAATGTGTTTTTGTTTAAATTTTCTATATATATCTATATATTATAACATGAAGATAGAAACAGAATGTTTCCATTGTGCTAAATTAAATATTTTGATTGACACAAAAGTACATGTTTGGTAACAAGGTTTTTTCCTGGAAAATTCAGAATGTTTGATGCAAAGATTTTAAGGAAACAAATTTCTGAACCACATGCTTTTCTGTGAAATAAGAACCCTGTGCAGCAGTTTATGTGATTGTTCATTTTTATATTTGCTTGAGCATCTAAAATCTCCATTTATAGATCCAAACCTCATGGTGTTTGTATCACGTAGACAAAAAATAAAAAGGCTGTCCCAAAAAGTTTATAAGCTAAGGAGGATTGTAAAAGCTTGCTGTAACTAAAGGTTTCAATTAGTTTTAAATCCCTGGTTTAGACCTGAAAAAGACTAGATCATTACCAAATGTCTGGACATTATGTACTCTCATGCAGATAAGGTAGCTGAAATTTAATCTCTTTAATAATTGGCAACTCTGTTTTGAATGCGATATCTTTGTTTTATCTTCAGAATTCTGCCCTGCAGTGTGAAGAGCCCTGGCCCCAAATCAGGCAGGGCTGACATACCATGTTAGTTGATTTAAACCAGATACATGCAGCTAATTTAAGGGCACACTGGCCTTTGCCAGAATCAGATGACTTTGTTGATGGTGTTTTATTTAGCTGGTTCTTAGTACGCATCAAGGGTGGAAAAGTTAGGTGGAATTTCAGTTAGTAACTCAATCAAAATACACTTTTACTGAGATCATTTAAAATTGCAGTATTGGCTCTTGGTTCTGTGTGTTTCTTGCCCCTAAGGGATTACCTGTGTGTCTGCTGTTTACGTGCAGTCTGTGGTAAGACTATGCACCTGCACAGAAGGGTGAGGAGAGATTCAGTTGCAAAGGATGTTCTCTGCATTAGAAGTGCAGCTTACTGAATGCTGAGCTGGTCATTGGTCAAATGCAAAACACAGTCTAAAAATGCGATGACATTAAGCTCCCTGTGAGGGGCAGAGGAGGATTGTGAAATCACCAAAGGTTTCGCAGCTAAGCAGGTGAACACTGTGTCCTTGTTTAAGAGGATGCTTATTTGGAAAACTTAAGAGCACTAGTCCTGGCCCAGAACTTCTGCTAGGCATTGCTTGTGCACAGAGCCTGTCCCTGACAGCAGCTAGGTCAGTCTGTCAGTCTGCTTTTTTACTAAGAACCTGGATTTTCTGGAAAATAGAAAGGGAACACTTAAAGAAATGCTTTCATTTTAAAAAATGCAAAAACCTCTTTGTTTCTGCATTATCTTGCTAAATCTGAGACAGTTAGTTTGGGTTTCTATGATGTAAAAATATCAGAATGCTTCATGAGAAAAAAAAAGTAATTTTTTACTATCTCTGTTTTAAATCATCTGCCCAGAAGCAAAACACATCTTAGAATTTAAGTCAGAGCAACTCTGTAATTTATAATCAGCACCTAAAAGCTGTGAGGAGAATGAGTGTAGGATCTTGAAACATTGCCTCTTGCTTTGTTACAGGGTGCTATTATCTCTTGTGCTGGATCTTACCTATATCTGTGGACAGTCAATGGCCAGCTTCTTGCAAGCATTAACACCACCTGTAGCCCTGAAAGCCATATTGTTTGCTGCTGCTTTGCTGAAGTGATGGACTGGGACACACACAGCATCATCATCACAGGAAGCACAGATGGAGTGGTGAGGGTAGGTAGATGAGGAGAGGAAAGGGAATCCTGATTCACTGTAGACTGGAGGCAAAATTCTGCATCCTAAATGGAGGGACAGAGCTACTAAAAGCCCATGACACCTTCTTAACAGGGTAGCACAGGGCAGAAGCTGAAAATCAGAGTAAAATATTTGATTCATGGCACTTCAGGACATGGTTTAGTGGGCATGGTGGTGTTGGGTCGATGGTTGGACTTGATGATCGTAGAGGTCTTTTCCAACCTTAATGATTCTATGATTCTATAAAACTTTTATTCTCCTGAGTGGAGGATTCCTTGTCATTCAGGAAGAGTTTTGAAAATGTGCTTTTCATTCTGGTGTGGTTTTGAAGGCAAAAATTATATTGCCCCTCAGAAATATGTTTGAATCTGGGTGGTTCATAGTTCAGTTTATTAACTCATACTTTCTCAGGAGCAGAAATTCACTGCTGGTTCTGCCTCCAGTCTGGTGGGAGAGCTTCCTGGGTTACTGGGATCCTCGTTAACATGTCAGCCCCGCAACCCCACCAGCTCACTGCATGTATCTCTCCAGTGTGACACTGTGCAGCACAGTGGCAGTGGGAGATAGAACTATGAAATCCTGTTCTGATGTTAGAAGTCAAATTTCCACCCCTTGCCGGGAAGCATATAGCCACATCTCTCTCCTGTTGCTATAATCCATGCTTTTTCCATTTTTACTCCTTGCTGGCACAGCTGTGGAAGATTGAATACACCAATGCTCCAGGCCAAGCTGCTGGACTGAGACAGCAGAGAGGCACGATGGAAGAGCCAGGCAACACGGGTATGACCACAGAGTGGGCTGTGAACTGCAGTGTGACTGTGTGCTGCATTCCTCGTTTGGTTGTGAGGAAGAGGAGGGTATGTGAGCACAGTGATGTGAAGGGGAGATGGTGCAGGTAGCTGGTGTAGTGTTACTGTAATCAGCAGCAGAAGCAGTGGGTAGCCACTGCCCTACCTTAGAGACAGAGAGCAGCCCTGAGCAACCAGTCACAAGGGCACATCCTACCTGGATGAAGCCAAAAGCTTCTTCGTAGTCTCTGTCATGTGTTCTGTCAAGCTTGATAGACTACCTTCCTGCCAAAACCTATGAAACTTATCAACTATCCTGGCTCCAGAAAGCCCATTCCCTTGTCACCTCTGCTCATGGTCTCTGCTAAAGTATCCTAGCATAAATCTGAGTGGGCAGTACCAGATCCTGCCCTGGGATGAAACAGGGAAGTTTTTTGCCTTTAGCACCTTAAATGAGGTCACAGGCCCTTCAAACTGGTGGGAAGCCAGTAGCAGGCCCTAGTGCCTGGAGCTCTTTATTCAAGGCTATGACAAGCTGAAGCTGATATCCTGGAGCTCTCACAGAGCTAAGGTTAATAAGATGATGGGGCTTCGGTGCTGACTGGTATTAAAAAGAACTCAAACTCACTTCTTTGTTCTAACAAATATGGGAGCTGAAACCTGCCAGGGAGCTTTAAAGGCACATCCTAAATAGCACAGCTTGCTTCTCTTCACAGCACGTTTTATAAGAGAATGGAATTGTGGTGTTAGTATGTATAATTTACACCACTTAGTTGCTGTGATCCTCATTACAGACGTTTTCTATTACTTCAATTTTAGGCACACAATTAGCATAAATATAGAGCTATAGATGTAACATCTGCATAAAAAGATATTATACGGTAATTGGGCATTACCACTGAGATCTTCAGAAGTGCTGTTCATGTAACTTGGCATCTACATTACCTAGATTGCTACGTGAAAATACTCATACATACAGAAGCATATCGGAAATGCCAAACCAGATGCCCATCCGACCTTTTGTCGTGTCTCTCAGAGTAGTTAGAGCCAGATGCTTCTAGGGAAGATGCAAGAACACCAGAGATGCCAGATGTGAAATAGTCTGGCTGTGGTATCTACATATTTGGTTTCATTGTGGTCTCTAATCAGGTTGCTGCAAATCGAAGTGAAAGACTTAATATTCCTTCCAAAATCCTTGTAGTATTATGTAGTCATTTTGCAGATTCTTCTTATATGTACAAAACATCCAACTTGTTTTAAGAATTTCCTAAATTCTTGCCTGTAACTTCCTGTGGCATTTGTTTCCATGTCCAATTTACTCAGGTACAAGTGCATAGGAATGTCTTTGAGCAAACTGAGATTTTAGCTATTTTTAAAATTTATGTCTTGAACAGTTCTCCAAACTAGGACTTAAAAGCTGCCCATGGGAGCACAACAGAATACTCCTGTTTGTGCCTTTTTCAGAGAGAATCATAACAGATGACAAGCATTGAACCAGGCATCTGATGATATGTAGATACACACACCTGTTCACACATGAGCATAAGGACACACATTCTCAGATGCATACAGCAAGAGTGTTCTTTATTAAAGAGCTGAGAGGTGTAATCAAAGCAGTGATATGCTCCCTGAAACTATTCAGATGACTTCAGAATTATTTTAAATGGCCAAATATTCTCACATCTCCTTCTATGTATTAAAGAAAATAAAATTAATACAAAACACAGTCATTAAAAAGACCAAAGTAACTATGATTGGGTTATGTTGTTGGGGGGGGGGCGAGTGTATGTGTGTGAACGTGAAATGTTCTCAGCATTTAATTATTGGTTCTGTTATGAGCAGATTTAGATAAGTTGATAATACCAAGGCTTTATGTAATTTCTTTTTACTAGGCAATTATGGGCTGTATTATATCCTGGCAGCAAGGTATTGTGGGGCATCTTATTAAGCATAGAGCCAGTGAAAACTGATGAACAATTTTGCTGAACTAGGCATGCAATTTAGAAAGCAATAATACACAAATCCAATTTAGCACACAATTGATACAGCCGCACGTCAGCACATGTAACTATCATAGCCACAAATTAAATTGGGATGGGTGTATTTTGCAACAGCACAGGCTGAGATTAAATATATTTGTCCTCAACTTAACAACTTGCTGACCGTAAATAATAACAATCCCATCCATGCTGCCCCCAGACACTTTCTAAATATTTATTTTTAAACCACACAACAGGTAACAAGTGTGGAAAACATCTTGTTCTCTGTCGGGAACTGAATCTCAGCCTTGCCTTGACTGGAAAACCAAGTAAGACCAGCCCAGCAGTGACAGCGCTGGCTGTATCCAGGTACTGTCCTTCCCTTCGCATTGCAGCCGGGGTCCAGCAGAGGTGGGGTCCGCGCCAGCATCGTGGCTTCTACCCCTCTGCCCTGGATTAGCAGGGTTTTGTGTTCTATTCTGGAGCTTGTATTACTGCTGCAGTTTGGGGGTTTGTTGTTGGGTTTTTTATTGCTGTTGGGTTTGTGTTTTGTTGTTGTTGTTTTGGGGTTTTTTTTTAAATCTCAGTCGAATCACTCTGTCTTAACAAAATGCAGTCACTCTGCAAGCTGGCCTGCCTAACTGAATTAAGTGAAGATGTTGGGATAGTCAGTAGTCAGATAGGAGACAACCCAGGAGAAATAGCAGATTTTGGATGGAATTGTTGTACAGATCAGTAGCTGCTACACTGTCTCTGCAGCATAGAAAGTATGCTATTTTAAGAGTTGCTGGAGATGCTATCTCCTTAAAATGTACACAGGAAGTTTTTGGCCAAAGGACAACTTTGTTAAACTCCACTCAGTTTGCACAGCCAGCAGTATTTTAGTGTACTCAATCCCACCCCTGCAGCTTCATCTGGCTATAATATTTGTTGTTATCTCCTACTCCAGGATGTTATGATATATTGTAAAACAGTTGCTGTTGCCATCTTTCTCTCCAAAAGTGTTGGCATTTTGATAGTTGCTAAAATTATTCCTATATTCCACATGCTCAGATTTAGAGCAGTTAGTGAGTGTGATATCTATCTGCATTGAAAGTGGGAAAGTTGGGGGGGAGGGGGATAGTTTCATTAGTGTTTGTGGCACTGTATGCAGCAGAGATTTCAGTGGCTGAAGCCATGACATTATGTACTAACAAGTCTGAATTCTGAATCAGGCCAGCAGATTATTTAATATTCATAAAGTCTCAGAGAAGGGTAAGAGCTTGAGAACTGGCTAGATTGTCCACAACTCACCCACTGAACACAAGGAAAATTTGCATCCAATTCTAAGTTCGGTCTTTGAAGTACAAATCTTTATCTACTCTATATCGTTGTTCTTCAAATTTAACATTGATAACCTACTCCCCTGTACGTTGCATCCTCTTAATTGCTACACATACAGGAGAAAGCCTTGATCCTATTTGCATCTTGTTCTTAATTTTTTTTCTCTTTTTTCTTTCTTTCTCAAGAAATTCCTCCAAGCTCCTAGTTGGTGATGACTGGGGAAGAGTCTGCTGCTGGTCTGTGGATGGGTAGGAAGAAATAGCCAAGAACTCTTGTTCTTTCAGCCTTTTGGATGGAGAGAAAATTACCTTTCAGCCCATGAAAAAATCAGAGAAACTGGAAGCCTATGTTTCGGGACTGAATCTCAAAGGAGTTGTTGGACTGACCCTGCAGTCAGTTCTCATTGAAATTAGGGAATGAACTCCAAAGCTGTGAGAGAGACACTGACAGACATGCACATAGACAATGTGATTTTGCAGTACTTGTCCTGGGAAAACTTTTCTATTTTGAATGTTATTTTAGATACTGAATTTGACATAATACATTGTATTTCATAAATAATAGCTATCAAATAAAACTGCCTTGATTATGCCAAAGAACAATGTAGCTTAATAAAATTAACATATTCTAATTTTAATACCATGAGATCAGAAAATACTGAGGCGTTAAGTGAGTTTGTTGCAGTATCTTTGTTCTTATTAACATACCAGTATGTTAATATCTCTGTTCCTACTCTTCCTTCTTCTTTGAATCTGCATGAAAAATGTATGCATGCTTTCTGAAAAGCTGTTTTGTTTGCAAAGTGAAGGTAGGAAATTCCCAGGTTGACAGTGGTGCCTTTATCCAGCCCCACTGTGAACATGTGTTATGGTGCAATCTTTAGTTTCCTAATCTCTGACTTGCTTTTTTTTCATAGTGAGCAAGGCAGACAAAATGCATGGAATGGGTGAGGATAAAGGTCTGACACAGATGGTCAACATATTTTTTCATTCTCCTCCTTCACTGCCTTCTTTCCTAGCCTTGTTCCAGTGTTCTCTGGAATATCAGTGTATGGGACATACTTCAGGATTTACCTTCACAATCCCCCTGCATGGTAGAAGTGGGTATTTGTACTATAAGAAGTCCGAGGCCATAGTGTAAGAAACTTAAGTACCATTTGTGTCCCTAATGGAGATGGAGAAAGTGTGAAAAATCAAGCTAGTTAACACTTCATGAGAATTTGAAGGAACTACAAACTTAACTCCCCCTCTCCCCTGCCCCTCCTTGACCTGTATCTTATCTTACACACAGAAGGTCTGAATAGCGACTTAGGCAGAGCAACTTCCTGAACACCACAGACTGGGTCAGGGCAGAGCCAGGATGAACACAAAGGACATTATGGCCATGAAGGCCCTTGTGTTCATACCACCAAACACACCCCTGAACAGAGAGCGCCAGGAGAATTCCCTGATTTCCACTGCACTGGGACTGGTTAGCACTGCGAGAGTGAAGCCCTGTGTGTGCTGCACTGGACAGCCAGGGATTGAGGAATGTGAGGAACTGCTATATGCCAAAATCTTGGTGCTAGAGACTTGCCAGCATCATTAGGAATCTGGAGTAGAAGACAGGTTTTTACCAGTCGTCTTCTACCTACACCGTCAACTTTCTTCTTCCTGTAGGGTACTGCTTTGTTCATGACTCTTCTTTTGAATTATGTTGCTGAATGAGCAACAGTTCCTATAGCAAACAGCCTCCTTCCTTACAGAGTGTTGAGACATGTCCTCCCCCCAGCTCACCCCACAGCTTGGTCTGACCTCCACAGTGAGGGAAGTAATTGTCTGTGGAAAACGTAGTAATTAGAGGCTAGCTCATGGTGCAGACATACAAGGAAGGCTGCATTATGTCTACACAGATGACCTGGCTGGTTATCCTTTCTAACCTCCAAGTGTGTGACTTGATGACTTCAATGCTATCCTTTCTGTGCTCAGTGCAACAGATACTGAAAACAGGCCAAAATACATCAATGCTTCTTCAATCAAAGTAACCCTATGGAGTAAAGGTGGACCATGCCCATCCTGTGTTTTCCTGAGGACTGGGGAAAGGTCAGTATGTCATAGAATTCAACAAAATTAAGTACACTACTTCTTTATTCTTTCCTCTCTGGACATTCCTTAAAAATAAGCTGTGACTTGGATACATGGACAGCAAGACTTGGACTTTTGGCAACTGTGAATACAGCTCAACTGTACCGTGATAAAGGTGATTTAGAACCATGAAAGAAGCTCACTACCTGTGTTTCCATTTACTTAGTAGGCATCTTGATAGCTTGCAAATTGTGCCTCCCTCCTTTAGCCTTTTCATGCAGCATGGCTTTGCCAATAGCAAATACTCCCTTTCTGAGATCTGGCGTTGGCATCTACTTTGCAGCCTGGACAGCAGCACTAATGGTTCCAGTGCTCTAGACATCAACCTGACTTTGGTATAAGAGGCCAGCTGTAGGCTAGCCATGCATGGATTTCACAGACTCATCAATCTATGCCTAAGGTCAGTTCCCTTACAACTTCAAGAGAAGGATGAGGTACATCAGCTGGTTTTTTTGATGGCAGAGAACAAATCCAGAGTGTGCATGTGTGAGTGGAAGCCATCAGGTTAAGAATTAGTGTCTTCCTGAGTCAAGCTTGCTCTAATGTTCAGGGAGCTGTAATCTGGGAGAATATAAAAGGCGAATGGATAGAAATGGGTTGCAGTTTCCTCCTAGGAAAAATTCTGATTAGGAATGATTTGCTGTACAAGCAAATTTGGTTGAGGAAGTTTTGGTTTCTTCTCTAGCTCTAGAGGATTTTTCCCCAGAGTCGTAAGTCATGGAAATAAATGCACACAGTGAGTACCAAAAGCACCACTCCCTGATTTCATAGTTAGGGCACAAATGTAAGTGTGTTGCAGTCATCAAATTTCCTAGGTCTGCTACAGCCAGTGTGTGTGGCAGTGATAGAATGCTACCTGGTCATTTTTCTGCAGGCAAGTCTCTGTGCCATGAAGTTTTTGCTAGAAAACTGTAACGTATGGTTGAACAATTAGTTGTGAAACCAACCCTCTTACAAGCACCTACTTTTATATTTGTGTTAGTCTCCTGTGTATTTGGTAAATGATGAATGCCCCTTAAATTCTGTCAGCTCTAGATGTGGAGGTAGATTTCGCTGACACACAGACAAGTCCTGGTGCTAGCTCAGGGGCAGTAGTGGTGCCTACTTGGTGGGTATCCTGATGTGATACTGATTCTCTAATGGCTGCATGGGATGTAGGGGTAACAGATCTAGAATATGCTTGAAAAAATTGAGCAAGTAGAGCAATTCCACAGCAAATACTTCCAGTATAACTCCATTGTTACTGTAAGTGGCATAGCACAAACATCACCAGAGTGTTGTAATTATCTCAGAACCAACTTTTGTGAGGGGTAAGTAGCTCAGGGTGAGAATTACCCTTAAAAGAAATCCAATCCCATTAGGATAAGAAATGTGCAGAAATAAGGCACAGTTT